TCCTCTTTGTGGGTGACATCAATGCCATAAGTTTTAGCTTCAACTGCCAATTTATGAGTAGAATCAATATCACCTGAGGCAGCGTATATGAGTGGCGTTTTCATCGACTTAGCCAGTGCGATGTATGCTTCGGCTTGACCATGGTAGTGCATAAATGGAGCGGCAGCAACATGTCGCTTCTCGATTCCCTCCGGCTCAGTCTTCAAATGTACGCCTAAGAATGAAGGGGTAACAATTGTGGAGCTGACATTGAGTGGTACATCATACCAGTTTGAAATTTCGCGTAGGGTTGAGGTTGCAAGGCGACGAACATCAGGTCGGAATTTCATTATTTGTCCAAACTCATGAGCGAAGACATGGCCATCGGCATGAGTTGGGTATTGAAGATTTGATTGTTCCAGATCCACAACTATTGGTATCGATTGTGGTGCTGGTGACATCCATTTCTCAATCCAAACGTGTAACTTTTCCTGCCATTCCTCTGGATGTTCTAATCCACTTGTTGGTCGATTGATGAATAAGCTCTCAGGCTGAAGCCCGCGTCTTCTTTCATTCACTGTTTGTTCCATATGATCGATGACATTCAATTCAGGACATGACATCTTCAAAGATTTTTTGAAATGATCCGCATCAAACATATAATCCAGACCCTTCCAGCCTAGCCCATGCCGTTTGCCCATGTGTGATTTCTCCCCTTCCTCGCTGGGCATCATGTTCAAGTCCTGAATATCCTCCCTCAGCTTGATATTTGGCATAACCAAGCTACCACCTGCACCAATTGCATATCGCACGCAATTAAGTATGGAGTTTCGCACATGTCCAACTCCTCCTTGATTGCTATCGCATGTAAATATGACGCTCGAGTTCCAAGTTTGTGTCGCACAAACTGCTCTCATAACCTCGGAATTGACATGCGGGAAATCGAATACATCCTGTTGGTCTAAAGTGGCAGCAGGTATGTTCGTTTGCGGGCCACCCGAATTGGCATTCCAGATGATATGTGTAGGTATAACTTGAGGACGGTCGAAAGCAAACCAAAGCCAGGCCAATCCTAGAGCGAAGCCTGCTAAGATGGCATATTTGCGATTGACACCATTTGGAAGTTGCATTTTTCTTGTAATTTGTGAGGAGATATTCGATTAAGAAAATGAAGGGAAAACATCTCGAAGGTCAACATTTTGAATGAGTCTCAAGTTGTGCTTTGATCTTGGTGGCTCAAGGAGAGACTGTGCGAGGTGTGTTTTAAGAAAGATGTTTGGACTTCCTGATGACCAATCACAAGAGGGCCCGCTTTGACTTGAAACTTCAATGAAGACGGCGAGACTACCTTGAATACATTATTTTTCTTTTTTGTTCATTCTTTTTGGGTTTCAAATTGTTCAAGCAGTGTATGAATATTCCGTGGTCAAATAATAATAAGGATTGTGAGTGGAGCTTCTGCTAGGTAGCTAAAGTTGAATACAAATCTGGGCGAGGGGTTAATTCGTCTCCAGTGAGAAGTAGACCTCACCCGGGAACCAGTTAACTTGTTTCAATCGCTCACGCTTTTTGCCCCAGCTGAGATCTATTGAACTCCATAAAGTATGTATTGCATGTAAGAGACTGTATCTGCATTACCTAATTATTCAAATCTCCTTGAATATATGTACCCCTTACCATTACCAAAAAATTACTCCCAATTTCAATTCCAATTCTAATCAACGCTATCTAAGCATTTAATATACACATGTTGCCTCTATTACATACCGACAAATTCCTATCACGTATCCCCTCATACCTTACAGAAAGTATTCCTGCATCAAAGTTCCTCATCGACTACCCGATTCACATCTTCGTGAATGGTGCTCTCATCCTTCTTTACACTGACTGACAAAGTTAGAAGTCCGGCGGCGGCATATGCAACTGCAGCAACTAGAAACCCCCCTCCGCTCCACAAACCTCCTCTTTTCAAGCCTGAGCTGAAAGCTCCTGCTACTAACGGACTGCTGACCATGCCGCCAATCGTATCCATAACGGCAAGAACACCATACAATCGACTGACTTGTGTCGGGTCCACCAAGTCAGTGAGAAGAGATCGAATGGCTGGGTATAGACCCATTCCAAGAGAAAATATGATCGTTGCTACTCTCGTTAGTCACGATATACGGCATTATGATCATTGATAGTTGAAGAGGAGTTCAGAAGTACTGGAACAGTGTCGACTTACAGACGACGAATAAACCTCGAGCGGGGATACCGCAAGCCCGAGTGCTCCCAAAGCCATAAGCAAAGCAGAGCCTCGACTAACCATCAGATCCTTCACAGCAGCTTGCAAATGGAGCCTCGAAAGAATAGCGTAAATTGCAGGAAGAACAAGGACCAATTGAACAAAGTTTGTGATCGAAGCGAGAGGAATGAGAAAACTTGCCTATGCCATTACGTCAGTATGTGAGAATTGAAGGAGCAGCCAGCACCTACATCAGCAAGTGTCCAGCCAAGTCTTTTCGAGGCAAGCTGAAGAAGAAACTGGTTCATGATTCCGTGCAAGGACTGGACCAAAAATGTAGCAGAGAGTGCGAGTAGTTTCGGATTCGTGAAAACAAAACGAGATTCTTCCAAATTTTCAAGAAGCATCGACCAGTTCTTTTTCGAAATTGTCAAGGCTCCTTCGTTATCAGTGGAGCTAGCTCCATCTTCCATTACTTCTTCTCGTGCTTCATCAGGATCTGGTGAAGAATTACTCAGGTGTTCCCTGAGATGTAAAGTTTCCGGAAGAACAAGGACAAGTAGGGCACCTAAAAATAAGAATAAAACAGCTGCCATCATAGGAACCCTTAGGTTTGAGATTCTTATAAGCCACCAGGCCAATGGTACACCAGCTAAAGTGGCTATTAGAGAAGCTGCCACAATTTGAAAGAAAACTGTAGCTCTGTGTGTCTTTCATTAGCACAAATTATGTCAAAACAAGGAGTCATTGGGTTGCACGCACCTTTGTTCTTCGGCTACTACATCAGCGATAATAGTATAGTACATAGTTCTCGCAACTGCGGAGCCGCCTCCAATCAATGTGAATAGGTTTGCCGACCAAATCCATCTTATATCAAAAAATGTGTCAAAATAGCCTGTACCAATCAGTATCGTAGGACCTAACCTGACAGCCAGCCTATCATGCCATCTCAACTATTGTAAATCCAGTAACTCACAAATAACCTGAACCCAGACTAACCCCAGACCTATACCTATCAAACTCATGAACAACACTGCCTTCCTCCCAATTTTATCCGCCAAAACACCAAACGGTACCGACATAATCAGTCCTGGAATACAAGCAAGAGTTCCATCCCACCCTCTCAACATCGCCAATTTCCCTTGAATAACATCATTCTTGCAATGACTTTCTGGAATCGAAAGTCGGGGCGCTTCACTATATCCAGAGAGGGGAGCAGATGAATAATAATCTCGACATAGTATGTCCTCAAGCGTACGAGCCAGCGGTGCTTGGAGCATATAATTGCCTATTTCAACAACTAATACAGAGAGAATGCAAATGACAGAAACGCGAATAGCTATAGTTTGACGCGTAAGTAATGCATCGTGATCGGTAGTAGAATGAATAGATCGCGTAGGTAATTTGGCCAATAAAGGGGTCGTCTCTTCGGAACGAGTCGGTTCGGGAGACATATTGGTCGGAAAAAGTATGGGGAATAAAGGCCCAAACTTAAGCCAAGATGGCACAGAAACGGGCCACACAAGATATATGTACTCAGGATTCTGGAGTCTGGATATCGGTGTTCGGTGTAGAAAATCAATAATTACCGGTTCTTACTCCGAACTGTGGATACATGTCGATAAGCACTTTATCCTACTATTCCGACATGCTTATCTGGGATTTCATAGGGCTATTGTAACGTATCAGAGCATTGAGATTGTGAATAGAAACAAGAATCTTGTTTCAATACTTCAATACTCATCATCATTTCTGCCAGCAATCACTGCAGTCGAAGGATCAGGCCTTCACATTCCATTTCGCGGATGGCATTCGAGAAACAACCGTTAATTCGCGGAGTTGAAAGCACTAGCCAATACATGTCAAAATATTCATTTAGGCAACTTTTTAACACTCTGACATTTTGTTACAAGCTTCAAGTGGTTGATTGAAATTGATAGAGAGTTCTGCATTATTCAAAGTAGTAAAAAATAAAAGATAAGATATTTTTCACTATTTTTCTGATTGAGGTGCAAGACCTTAAGAATGAAATTAAAAAGATACTTAGAAAATCGACTCGTTGGTCCTTCAACTACAAATATAGTAAAATTCCATCAGAAAATCTCAAGCTTCATTTGAATCAGCCATGTCTTGATTTAGCAATAGTCCAATCAATCGATTAGGAAACGAGAGCCTTTCCTTAAGGAAATGACCACAAAAGCTCTCTGACAGGGGGTTTACTTTTCATACGATGCACATGAGCGTTGCTCCGGTTGGCGCTCATGGGTCAACCATCTTACTGCCATTCTCTCAAAGCCTGAAAGGACCTCACCAGCAAAATGGTGGTAAAACAGTGATTTTGTCACGAACTGACGAGGTGCGATAAGCTATGGCCACAGTTCTTAGATACGCAGTCAGAGGGGCGAGGCTGGGTGGAGTTCCAATTCACGGCCAATCAAAGAGTAAAGAGGCCCCCCCCCCCCCCCCCCCCCAGGGCCAGATAAGCCTCAACCAGGATCGCGTCAGGACCCATCAAGGGGGTGTCGTCGGACGCGTTGCACCTTCATTATCAACTGTCGAACACTCATTGGAATTTGAGGCTTCTGGAATTCTTTGACGCGCAAAATAGAAAGTTCCTCACATTCGGAGACTAATCAGCTCTTATGAATCCACAACGCTTTATGTGCTAGTACCAATGCGCGTCCTTGAACAAAACATTGGCGACGAAATACAGAATTGCTGGCCCTTCAGACATAGAGCAAGTAACATAGGTACTCATTGCCCTCTCTTATACCCCTCAACTCTTGAAAAAAAGCTAAGCCGGTCCTTTGAGATTTCCCAAAAACACAACTAGCACCGCACAATAAGCACTCGTTCCCACGAAAATCTCCTGAGTGCCCGCATCCGTAAGTAGACTTATCATGACGCTGAAAAGAAGCACGAATGCGAGAACGGCAAATGCCATCCATCCTGCCTCCATCGGTATCGTCAAAAGGAGAAATACGGGTATGAGCAGTATTAATACTGTCATGCAAACAACCAGTAGTTTTGACAACAAACTGATGCGGAAAGTAGAAAAGAACTTGACGGTCTCTTCTGTAGGAGTTTTGCGTTTAGGTGTGACGAGCAAGCATTTCTGAGACGTTTGTTAGCTGATTGCACTGCACGGTTCAGGATTTGGGAAGCGCAATGGATAGAACCAACTTGAAACCATGATATTGGCCAGGTATTCAAATTATCTTCAACAAATCTTTCCAATCGGTTGTTATGTGGTGGAACGAGTGAGATGCAATCATCGGGTTGACGCAGCCATTCGTATTGATCGAGATGCACCAGCTTTTCCCCGCAAAACCACCTATAAACAGATAGGTGATCTTTCTCTGGTGTCGACGAAAAGGACTTCAACTTCTGGAATTGTATCAAAAGTGCACCTTGTATAGTATTAGCTCAAGACAAATAAAGCAACCAGGAGGTATGATTTACCATAAGCAAGTAACTCTTGTTCCAAACTCAGACTTATCGTCTCTCGCTCAAGTTCCAGAGCTTCAGCTTGAGGACTTTCTCTGAGTGGGTCCGATTTATCTCCGTTTTGGGCATCACGTACATCTAACTCATGAAGTATTTTCTGTAGTGCTAAGGTCCTGTTCATTCGAAATCACAATACTCTTGCGTGAAGAGGTGCAAACACACGATAAATACTGAAACTATCGCAACTTTCAAGAAAGTTTGCGACTCGTGACCAGCCTTTCGGCTGATCCAGGTCTACAATAATAATTAAATTAGTGTCTGATTGACGGATTGAAGACACTCACAACTCGGATATTCTAATCGGTCATATTCAACTTGGTAAAGATTTGCTCGCGGCGTTTGTTTGACTGGAAAGATATCTTTGATTGGGTTGATGCATCTTGTGAGTCTATGCCACCATAGCGATATACTAGACTGGCACGGGATGTCTAGAAAGAGTCAGTACACATCCACGTATGATGTGCGATGCTGGGTACTTCGATGAGAGGACTCAAGTCCTTCTACGTCTGTCTTCGTCGAATACGGGGGGGTAAGCGGCCTGCTGGTCGTCTCGTAATTGAAGGAGGGGCCCGCCATTGAATGCATTTCCAAACAGCTTCCAATACCCTGCTCGGCCATATCTAGACTTTCCGAATAGGAATGTGAATTCGAACTTTTTCGCTCTGAGATCGACGCGGATAGAGGCATTTTAAAATATGAAATTGAGCATGTCGAGGAGATTTCAAAGCCCAGCATGCAGCCTTTATTTATACTTCTCCTCAGGTGGAAGTTTTGAAGGTTGTATGTAAGGCAGAATATGATGCTATTTTCCAAATACTGAAGAATCGATTCCCGTCGCCTATCGTCCACTCATGTTATCGTCACTATAAGGCTTCAGGCTTGAACACCATGATAAGCCGCCACTGGGCTATGTGAGTGCAACCCAAATGTGCAAACACATTACCCTAAAATCAAATATTGGTCGAATTATATATAGTGGTGAACCACACCGAGTCCTCTGCACGGTATAGGTACTTTAGCCGGACGAAGATGCCTCTGATTGTTTCGAGCATCGTCCAATAACTGGACAATCATTAGGTATCGTTACATTGTTCTCTCCTCTTCTGCACCAGAGCTGCGGGCTGCGAGAGTCGATATCATTTTACCTCATCCGCAGATTCGAGGATGAAAACTCGCATTAATGATATGACCTTGACGGTATTTCTGCCAATGCTGAAAACAGTTGGCGCACGAAGACAGCAACATTTAGAATTGAAAATTTTTTACCATTCAAGCCGCATGATGAAACTTTTAAGTACTACTTAAATGATACCTAGCGCCCCTGAGTCTTCATTATCCTGTCCAATGAGATTGAAAACACCAGGTCAGCGATTCCCTTTTAGCCATCGAAATTTCTGTAGTAAATCAGCCTTACAGTGTACGAGAGAGAAGTATTGTGATAGATATATGTACAAGGCCTCGGCAAAGATTCTAACGTCACATCAGGAATCTGAAACTCGCATTATCACGAAAGCAACACAACACCAACACAACACAGTTATTTACAATTCAAAGATCATTGAAATATCGATTATGTAAGGAAGCGCGCAGACAAATCGTCTACTCACTCTCCCCTATCACACAATGCGGATTAACTCTCACTCATAAGCGCGTACCGTATACGAATTCCTCCTTGATATATGACAGAACTACTGTCCATCTGCTAACTCGATACGCTGTTCCGACCCCTCCATTGAAACAATATCTATCCCAGCAGAGAAGCTTCCAAGCGGCAGCATATTCGAAGAACCATTCGACCGCAACGGCTTGATTAAATATTTTGATCAGATACAAGTAAAGGTTGAGGCAAGGAGGGAATACGCGATCGCTTTGGCCTCCACTCTGGTCTCTTAAATGGCGTGTCTACGCGATTATCTATATATTTGCAAACGTTCTGCATCAGTAGATAATGCTTTCAAAAACGATAGCATAACAGCCTGACTCGCACATTGGGCGACTACCTGGCAACAAGTTCTCAATCTCTCGACATTCAATTCGAAACACTCTCTTTGTTTGGAAAAGTCCCTGTCGGGTGCCCTCATCAAGGCCGCTACACTGCAATTGTAGGAGAGATTTCAGGTCATGGAAACAATTCGTATGTCCACGATAGCACATGGATAACTTCCAAAGCAGTGCTGTGTTCATGAAAGAAAGATCAGATGTGTTACTCAAGTACATCATCGAGAGACAGACCTTATATAAAACTCTGATGAATATCAAGATGATATGGCACAACTAGCGACAGCTTCACTAGAAACTATCTATTCATAATATAGAACTCAAGAGGTATGAAAGATTGTGTTCCCTTAAGGGATTTTAATTCCAGTGTATATGCGAAAGCTCTGTAATTTATTTCTTTTTCTTTATCTATTCCGTCAAACTTTCACTGCGCCGTCCCAGAAGCATTGTATTAATACCCAGTTTATCAACTTGTTCCCTTCCTTCATCTACCTGCCCCCGCATATTGTATCGCTACAGTCAATCGGTTCTAGTCTAATTGCACCTTTGATATGCGCCGTCCGATGATTATTTTGTTGTGCCGCATCAAAGTTTCGAGTCCTATCGTTGATGTGGACCTGGTCAAGTATACGTTAGTGCGATACATGAAGCTGGCTGGAATGAAGTAATTACCATGACGCGTCCATGAATCTATTGGCTCGTGGTAGAAAGTTCAGAAAGCTTTGCTGCTTCTGGGGAGGGGGAGGGGGGGCTTTGACTATTAGCTTGAGATAGTCAAAACGGAATGCGAATCAACTTCACTGACAGGTGGCAGTTCAACTACAATACCCCTAATGCCTCTTGCGAAGTTTTGCATCGCTGGGAACTCGACCAAGGGGATAACCATGTGAGTGGAGCTGGGGAGATCTTTCGGAGTCGTTATGGCAATATTTGTGATGGAAGAGTTTATTGTGGGAGTGGGAATGAAGGTGTGTTTTAGATATATATCTAATCGTAAAGCTCTAGTGATGAATGAGAGTGATTGTTTTGAAAGGGAAGAGAGACGATTAAGGGCGAGAGAAAGAGTCTCGATTATATACCATCTTCATTACCACTACGTATGAAATAAGAAGGCCATTTGTTTTTCGCGGGGCACAATTCGGAATTCAGGGACAACAAAGAAGATTTCGAGTCAAGGAAACATGCTCTCATCATTCAGGGACATCCGCCAAGTTAAAAGTAGAATCCGAAGTCCGACATAGGGAAGAAACAAGCAGAAGAAGAGGGAAAAGAGAAGGATATTTCGAATTCTTGGGGTGTTTGCTTCGAAGAAATTGAAAATATTCTCAACATCCTGACCTACCTTTGTTCAGTCGCTGATCTGATCAAATCCACGTGGGGATAATCCCCAGGAGAAAGCAGAAGATGGGTCGCAATTTGCATGTCTACTTGCTGGCTCCCCGTGCGTTCGCGATTTACCCGAGGGTCGTAATCATAGCTGGCAGCTTATCATGCAAATACTCGTACTAGACATGTTACCCCTGGGAAAGAATGCCTTGACAAAAGGTGCAACAGTTACGATCCGGTAGATTAACAAACGGGGCAACTTTGTAATCAGCAGATCTGCAGTCACTTTTCCCTTTTTTCATCACAAAAACGTAGTCATTGGTCGAATCGGGCGAATTCAAACAATTTTGAGCTGCCCGACCGAGACGGCTCAAGATCGCGCATCCGCACAGACAATTATGGAGGCTGAGAAGGGGGCGCTCCGATTTGTAGAAAAAGTGTAGCACTATTAATACTATGGATCTAGATTGTATTTCGATCCACTATACCTTCCCTTGCTTCCATGTTTATCCCTAACAACGAGTACCGGTAATGATCTATCACATCCAAGGTGTTTCGCGCCAGGTACAACGACGTTGAAGCTTTCCCGCTACCAATTCCATGTTTGCCTTGGCAAGCCTTTGAATATTTCTGACACTCACCATCATTTTTTTCGTCTTAGCTTTCGTGCATACCGAATTCATTTGGAAAATTCTAGGGAAGCAACTTTTATGTCATCGTAACTTGGATTTGAATCAAGTACCTGGCTATTCGTAGAAGAAAGAACAGGCGAAATTTAATCATTCAAATCTTTATCGAAATCTTTTGACTTGATTGAAAAAAAATGCAATTGAAAATAATTTATGTAAATTCAAAAAGATCAAATAAAATATTAGTTTCTTATTGTTTCTCGTTATAGTATTTCAAAACTCAATTTATACATAATTGAAGAGAAATAATCGATTTATAAAAAGTATCATAGAAATGGTCAAATCCCGCCTGTTTTTTCTCCTGCGAATAGCCCTGGTAGTCGTATACGTATCGCCGCAACGTCGAACGAATGGCGAAATTGTCACTACCCAGATGTTTCTCAACTATATCCTAGTGAACTAGGCACTGAGATCATGGCAAGGTAATCCGCATCTTATTTTTGAACTCATTTGAAGCTTTGGCAGCCGTGGCACAGCTTCCGCGTTGTAGTGTGAGCTTTCCTTTCTGCCCAATCTCAGCCGTCATGAAAAGTTCGCGTGCCAAGAAGCAATTTCACGAGATATAACATTACGAACTAAACGAGCGAAAGTATCTCAGGAGAACTACGGACATACAGAAATGGCGTAACTTTTTTTTTTCACCGTCTTGAACTTGCCATCAATCAAATCATTCTGCCGGTACAGACCATTGAGACTTCCTAGTAATAATCCTTGACTTCGGAGGCGCTGAGGCAAATTGGACCATGCACCACCCTCGGATTCATACATATTGAACCTCATTCAAGCTTCTACTCTGCATCTAACGCTTTCCAAGAAGTGGGAAAGGAAACAAAAAGGAAAATTTTTGGATAGCCCTTGTAATTCATACATTTTGATTTCCCGTCCGCAACTTTCAGCCCCTTGATGAAACAATTCAATAAGCATTAGTCTTTACCGCTCCCTCCATTTTACCCTTTCGTCAAAGATCAACTTGATCAGGCATTTCTTTCTTCTCACCCTCTCATCAAAGAGCAACTAGACCAAGAAAGAGACGGGCAAAGATACATATAACCTATTCAGTCAAGGCGACCACCGCCACCATCACCACAACAGCGCAATGATCGAATCATTATCCACAATGTTGCAAAACAGCCGTGATCCGTAAATTTATCAACCGCTTAGTTCACATTAACCGTTATACATCATCGAGACAGCAACCACCTCAATCGTCCTGAAGAAGAAAAAACGTTGCTATATGGTACAAAGTACTAATTTAGATACCTATGTAGCCGTGAGACGGTTCCAGAGCGTAGCTAGTCTACACCATCTCGGCAGTTTAACGACTGACTCACATAGGTTGAATCACACTACAAACTTCCAATCAATCGAATGTCAATCTAACAACCACAAATAAAACAATCGAATTTAAAAGATTGAAAAATTCTTTCCCTTGTTGGATAATTGTAAGTACCTATCCAAGTACTGAGAGATGAACAAACTAAGCTCAATCGTAGTACATATCATTCAGATCTTTGATCTGTCGTAATCCCCGTGAACTGGACGAACCACCAAGCTCAAGTAGATAGATACTCGAGCAAATAAGAGGTGGTTGAAGCGCTTTGATCAATCAGTAACAGTGACGTCAATCACTTTATCGAGAATCCTAGACGAGAAGAGAAGAGTGGGGGCGAGCGA